GACAGTTCTGTTACTTTTAGATGGCAATTTCTTCATTACTGTGCTTCCATCCTTCTTGTACTTGCAAATACATCCAGAGTTTACTATGACTCTCCCAATTCCGAGCTTCTGGACGGTTATGCCTTGTTTGTTCTTTATTAGAATGGGGTTGAGGGAAATGATTTTGCATATACGTCAGTTTAGCTACTTTGAACTTTTACTCTGTTGTTCTGTATTTGCTGGTACACTGGACACTGTCAATAACTGAAGCAATTTTATCCTCTTTAACCTCGGAAAATCTCAAAACTCCAAGCCATTTGGAACACTTGTAATAAGGGTTGACTTTTCTCAGTATGTTGATTGTCAAACGTGACTAATTGAGTGGGTTGGAGTAATGAGATGCAAGCACAGGACAAATTGAGAGGGCTGCTTTAATTAGTTATCTTCAAGCTGCGCTGAGGTGCGACTATTTTTTAATACTGCGGTGATAGATATTTTTTCACAGAAAATAAACAATATCAGATACCAGAAGTAGAATGTTTTATCAACTAAAGATTTGAGTAGGCATTTTATTACCAGATAGTTTTGCACTACACTGTGATAGTAATAATAATAAAGTATATTAGGTGTCAGATACTTGAGCTACATAATCTGATTGGGACACTATATTCTTGAGGTTTAAATAGCCTGTGAGAGCAGAACCAGGTCAAGGACTTGAATTCATGTTGCTCACAGGACTGTATACATAAGTGAATTCTTTGATCCCCACATTACGCAGATATTTCTTAACTGGCTTCATTGTTCATAATAAAACTTTTATTAATCAATGTGAAGCAATGTTATGTAGTTGGTATGTTACAAAACAGTATAGCGATGAGAAGCATTGTCTAGCAAAGGGTTAAAATGAAGCAATATACCGAAGTGGTTTCAAAACGTAAGAAACAAATAACAATAAAACTAGAATTGAATTACTTAGATTACATGTTGGTGTATCGGAGTCTGAATTCTGTATCCTCTGCATCACTATCCATAATCCTTTTTGAAGACATACGCCTGCATTATCACTCTAACTGTAGTTAAAATGCCAATGCAGTCAGTGCTTTAGTGTTTCTATATGTGGTTATTTTTACAAAACGTCTTATTTGGTGTGCAGATTTTAGATGAGGAATAAGCTGAACCACTGAATTCTCCTAGCTATTTTGTATTTTACTTCAGAAAATAATCTATCTAAGAACCTAAATAGCCTAAACCTGTGGCAACTACTATTTATATATTAAAAGGAACAGCCTGTTTAGGATAACTTTGTAAAATCCAGATTGTTAGTCTCTTGGTTTTACTTTAAGACAAAGGCAAGGCAAAGGACACTTAAGTGCTGTGTTAAAGAGGAAGGTAAGACACAATTAGTGTTTAAGTAAAAGGTATATAGTAACCTTCAATCGTTAATCTCGCTCCCCTCTTGGATACATAATAGGGCAGCATAATAATGTTCGGCACATTCACTCAAATATTTTCTAGCTAGTTTTAAACTCTGCTGCTTTACATCTTCACGAATTGGTCTTAGTTCCTGCCTCAGTGTGGTCAGTAAGTCTATTCACAGTGGAGTTGCTTGCCTTTTTTTGCTTACAGAACCAGATTGGGTTGCTGTTTGGGGTCAATAGTAAAATGCATGAAGGCACAGTCAGGATGAAACTTTCAGATTGCCCCTATCGCCAGGCTGTTCTCCAATTCCAAAATTAATCCATGCGATTTTTTTGACCTTAAATTTCTCGTGCTGTAAATCTTCATTTTCACTGATGTATTTTAACTTTAAAAATGACTTGTAGTCCTTTATCATGTCGAGACCTACCCAACAGACCTTGATGCTTGATAAAACGCTAGTGACTATAATGGTTTCTCAGTCTTGAGGTGTTTCAATTTTCTCTTGGGCGTTAAAAACGTTGTGAATGTTTCCAAAACATCTATTGCAAACACTATACGAGTCACCCTCCAACAAAAATTTTAAGTCTGTTTGTAGGAAGTCTCCTCTTGTGACCAGGTAATCCACACAACAAATATAAAGTTTTGCTTAAACTGGGCTGGGGAATTGTCACACCACACTATAGGATGGTCATACCTGTCTCGGCCTTGCTCCGTCTGAAGTTTGTTGAGAAAATAGTCAGTAGACTTGTACATAAAATAGTGTATGACTTCCTGGTTTGCACAGTATATGCCCATTAGGCTTGTTTTGAGCTTTTTTGAGTAATACCAGTCTTGAGAAGACACTTTTTGTGAAAATCCATGTGCAAAATAACCGTTTTTTCAAGGCCATTTTAGTCCATGCAAACGGACCTGACTGCGTGAGGCTTAATGCAGCACGTAGTTTACTTAAAACTTATCTCTTCAGTTATTTGCAGCTAGTGGCTCAATATTCCAAAAAGACACTACCGGTATCACTTATGTTTGCATGCGTGTGCGCATGCAGGTCTGTTGACCTTACATGCGGTTGTCTTCACATTAGAGCCAAGAGTCACGTTTGTGGCAAACAGCAAATGTGAATTTTTACCACATGACCAAGTGTTCCCTGTTGTTGAGAAATTCTCAACCTCAATCTGACGTAAACCCTTTTCTGTAAAAGCGACTTTAAATATCTCCGTTGAGTCTGCAATGGTTCACAGTTTCCTGTACTTTTTTGAACTGAATTGTGTTTTAGTGAATCCTTTTTGGGTACAGTGCTGGGACTTCTGTCCAAATCAAAATAGATGCAGTTATGGAAACAAAATTTTAAACTTAGACATGTTAAATTTCTCTGTAACTTAGATTGGGGAAATGTTTACAGGAGAAGAATTGATCTCTCGCTCGCTGTGTTAAACAAACGTTTTTCTCTTACGATGCAACCAACGAAAAACTCAAATGCCCACGAAAAGAAACTAACCAATAAGGCTAAGGCTACGTCGACTTATTCAGACAGGGTTTTTGAGAAATCAAGAGAGGTGTTTTTACACGCAATCATGCAAAAACAATGCATGGAAAGTTTCAAGTGGACCTGTATATTAGTAGTAAAGCCGTTTTTAGTGTGGTAATAGGAAAGGCGTTCTAGTATGGTACCATCACGATTCAGTTATGTCATATCTGGCTATTAAAACTCGGTCGGAATTGTTCTGGGCAAAACATTCATACATTGTGTTTGGTTTCGTGCGTGCGTGCATTATCCATCAGGTGTGAGCAAATCTGACTCTTACCCATCTGGTGTCTGTAGAATGAAAGAAAATACTGCATTATTCACTGTCTGACAACTATAAAAACTTGAGCTTGAGGAAAGCAAACATGAGCGTTCCATTCATGGCTGTTCATGTACAATTTTTACTCTACAATTTTCTGAAGTTTAATCTTTAGAATTTCACCTCCCAGTTAAGGCCACTAAGTTATTTCCTTGGGTTTCCCCCTCAAAGGGGTACTCCCTTAGATATACCAGGTAGGTGTGGGCCGCCCCAAACGGTATGGTTTATTACGCTGTTTCGGTCGGAAAACAGGTCTACAATTTACCCATTTTGGTCTGGAATCGGGTATGGTTTTCAAGGGAAGTACAGGAGTGTTTGAAGGTCTTGATTTGTTGTTTCAATTCCAAATAAGGTTGGGGTCATACTTGAGACAAATATTTGAAATGTCTGAAGATATCGCAGACAATTTTGTCGCAGAACTTGTCCGAGACAATTAAAATGTTGTTGTTTTGCGGTTGCACTGTAGAGGCAAACATCAGAGACATAAGATAACATAAGACCTGTCACTTCTGGTGCTTTTTTTTTTAATTTTACCGCATAAATTATTATTTCCCGCTCAATGTGTAGAATAGAGCAACCGCAATGAATCCGCGCCAGTTCGCTCTGTTTCTAGGTTTTTAATTCTATGTTCTCAATGTAAATGCAGCTAACGATGCTCAAAGAGTCATTCTTCTTTCTTCGCTCATACAAATACAAGCACTTCAAGCGCAACTTCTTTTGTGGAACCAACGTCGAAGGAGGCGTCGAGGACGTCGCTTTCCCTGTTTTTGGGTTTTGCTAAGACCACACCAATCGTGGTTTGACATACACTATTTTGATGCTACAATTCCAGGAGACTATTTCAGGCGTCAGCTCCGCTTAAACAGAAATACGTTCCCGGTGCTATTGAATATTCTTCGCCCGCGCCTGACAAGACAAAACACGCACTTGCGTGACTGTGACACCGGAAAAACTTTTGGCATTGGGACTGTATCGCTTGGCACATGGAAATTCCTACATAACGATAGGCCCAAATTTTAACGTAGGAAAAAGTACAGTTATTGAGGCGGTCCAAGATGTTGTTGAAGCATTGTGTGGTTCCAGAAAATATCCATACCCCCCCCCCCCCACGGAGGGTCACGGAATTTCCTAGGGGTAGGGGGGTCTAAAAGAGACAAATTTCTGAAGGGGAGGGGGGTACATAAAGAGTTTTTCTTTCCAGAGGGTTTGAAATGCGATCGAATGAACACTTACGTATTTTTCCAATTGATTCGGGGTAGCCAAGAAAAACCAAAAGTTCTATCCGTGGAAATAGACGTAGGATTCCTTGTCATATATTTTCTATTATTATCCCGACGCCAGATGACACGTACAGCTCCGAGGCACACCTCTGAGCACGTTCGACGTCGAGTCAAACAAAATGGCTGACTAGAAAAATATCGTTCCCAGTCCCTAACATTGGCTGTATTGAGCGAATGCGCGGAAATGAGTTCGAGTGGAAGTGGGTAATTTGCGCACTTTCACTGGCTCTTCATTTTCACTTGCTTGGCTTCTTGTTCTCCTGATTTGTTTTTATATGAGACGAATAACCAGTTGGAATTTTCATAATAATTTTACAGTGCATGATTTTATTGCTATACGATACTCTATTGATTTAACAGACCATGGTACAGATTGCGTGACTCAACAAAACATTCTGCGTAAATTCATGTTTCCAACAAAAACTGTAACTACTAAGAAAATTGTTCTTTTCTTAAGGAAGAGTTCAACGTTCCATTTCCGACTTTATTCTTCGTCCCCTGAAGAAGCGCTTTCTACACCGCTGTTTTTTTCGTCTTCTGAACCACTAGAATTTGAAGTACCACTTTTATTAGCATCCAGTGTTTGAAGAAGCTTTTGTCTTGCATCAATTGCCTTCCTCAGTGAATCCTGTGCTCTTCTTAGCTCAGCCAGCTGGGATTCCAATTCTTTCTCGATCTCCTCTACTTTAGTCAGGGCAGCTTGGCGTTCAGACTTGTTTTTGCTATCAATCAACTCCATTCTCGCAGCTGTTAGTTCTTGCTGGAGTTTCTGTAGTGAAGTCTCACCTTTCTCCACCCGCGTAACATTCTTCTCTAAAGTAGCTCTGGAAAGTTGGAATTTCTTTAGCAAGTGTTCTGGACATTTTCGGTTTATTTCGTCATTGACCTTGTGCACCTCATCCTTGATTAGCTTAGATTTTTCCAGTGTCCAAGCAACATTTATTGCCCCTTGAATTTCCCCAGGTTTATAGTTGCTGAGCGCACTGCTTCGACAAAGTTCTTCTCCTTTGGCATTCCAAAACTCTCTGTAAACCGTGGTCATGCCTGAACTGTTGGCAATTTCTGAATGGCTATAGATTTTAATCTTCCTGTCTCTTGCTGCTGAATAAGGTTGCTTTGGCTTAGCCTCTGATCGGCCAGGAGAAAGTAAATCAAACAATGTCGGCTGTTGCGAGATCTTGGGTTTTTTGGTCGGTGGGGAGACGAAGTCCTCTTTCTCTCTGTCTGCATCTTGAGACGTGCTGGGCTCAACGTGGATGGCAGATTCTTCGGTCTTGGTTTCTTCTCGAACGAGATAAATTGCAGGCTCATGAGATTCCTCGATGCACTGTTTTAATTTGATAACTACTTCTTGTTTAATTCCCACAACGACACGCTTGCCGTTTACCAATCGTGTAAACTTGAAAGGAAAACAGAGAAGGTCATCCACTTGTGCTTCCATCTCGCGGCGAAACGCTTCCAATGTTGCATCAATATCCTCAGCAATTACACAGCAGAAACTACTTTCGTTGACATAGACCAAAATATCGGACATGATGGGTTTTGCACACTGGGAGAAAACTGCGACAACTGCGAGCATCAAGAGCTGACTTTAAATGAACTGTTTTGTAAGTCGCCGGTATGTTATCTATTGTCTTAGGTGTCGAATGCTCTGCTCCGTCATCAAAAGACCGAACGTCCAGGAAGCAATATACATAAGAGTTCCGGTCTTTCACATATAAAAATATGCACCAAAAGAATTTATAAATAAATATATAAAAAACTCGTGCAGTATTTTTTCCATCAACGAGGGGTGAAAATTTTATTTCCTGTGAATTACTTTATGTATACTAACCAGTAACAAGTTTAAATTAGCCTGCGAGAAGGCTCATGTTTGGTTAACACATGCAAGCGACAAAGCATCCAAAGCCGTGATCAACAAGAGCGAAGTGAGCCCGTAATCATTTGTGCCCCACCGGCGCTGGTGAGGCGCCAAAGATTCGGTTTCACTCTCTCATGTTTCGCTGGCCTTCTTCTTCGTTAAACTGTCACTCTATCAATTAATCCGTTTAGCAAGAGTTGCTTCTGACACACATAAATTTAAGAGGTCATATTGTAAAGGTAGAAATAAAATAATTCCCAGGTAATTAATTGTAGTTATTTTACGTAAGATAACAAGCTAAAGTTGTTTTACGTAAGGTAACAAATTAAAGTGCCATAAAGAACAGGAAGCGTTTCAATGTGAGACGAAACGGAAAGAGCCAACCAGCATGCAATCTTTTGGGACTTAAACGGATAATACATGTAGCATATTGTTTTTTGTAGTTTTGACACCTTTTTGTTTTAAACAATTCATTTTCACGTTATTGAAGTGTGAAGTTACTCTGTTTCATCCGTTATACGCTACTGCATAACTTCCCACGCTAAACACATGAAACGGTATGGCCTTCAGAGATCTTAAAGATTTAGCTGCCAATCGCGGTGATTTTAGGAAATTTTATGCTGTCTGCGAGCAACTGGAAAAGCGATGGAGTGATTGTAAGTGGAACATCGAAGAGGCACATTTCTCCTCACATTTTAGATCATCTCAAGCTGACAAAATCTCCAGCCATATTATTCCTTCAAAGTACGCCGATCTAGTTCCTATTCACAGTACTGGAGATGGCAACTGCCTTTTTAACTCTGCTAGTTTGGCTATTTGTCAGAATGAAAGCCGCGCAATTGAACTTCGACTACGCACGTGTCTCGAGCTCGCCAGAAACAGGGATTTTTACAAGACGCATCCTGTGCTAGTGCACTCCAGGATCCCTTACCACTCTGGAAGAAATGGTCCTGGTATTATGCCAGTTGAAACTTTGTATGATCTTACCTGTTTTGACGCAAGTTCATCCTGTGAATTTGGGGAAAAAGGTTTTGATGCAGCCTTTGAAAACGAAATTACCCGAACATCGCTAAACTATTCGTACAGCGGAACTTTACAAATCATGGCTCTTGCAAGTGTTCTCGGAGTTCCCATTCAAACAGTTTATCCTGATCAGAACCACAAACTTTTGCCTGTTTACGAAAATGTTTTTCAACCCAGACAAGGGTGCCATTCTGCTAACAATGTACTTGTTCGGATTCTGTGGACTAACACTCAAGGTTGGCCAGATCGTTCCAAAGAATTCACTGTGAATCACTTTGTACCACTATTCAAACGAGGAGATGAGGTATTCAAGGCGCAAAATACCGCAAGAAAATTGACAAAGGAATCGAACTCTTGGCATGGTTTTGTCCAAACAAAGCAGTCAAAGCAACAGACAGACAGAAAAACATTTAAGCAACACAACAGCAAGAAAATAACTGAAAATGCTAAACGCAATAGAAAGGAAAGTCAAAGTGACGAAATATCCGGGGAAAACAAGGGCGTCAAAGGTAAACGAGAGAGTACACCAGACATGAAAGACCGTCCAGAAAATCTAGGAAAAGATTATCAAAGGACCGAAAATAATCAAGGGAATGGATGCATCAAGAACAGAGAGGGTAACAAAACTACAGTTCAGCAAGGTGAAAGAAAGACACAAACAAAGAAAAACCTCAATCAGAAAACGAGGATAAAGCGTTCTCAGCAGCAATTGAAGCCAGAGAAGTCAAAGAAAAAAGACGAAGTGAAGACAGCACAAACACAAGAAAATCAAGGACAGTCAGAAGAAAAATCACCCCAATTGCAGGAAGATAAAGGAGATAGACCGAAAAATAAGGAACAGAAGCACGAAGAAAAGTCGGAAGAAAAGCCACCACGAGTACAGGAAGAGAAAACAGATCGGCCGAAAAATAAGGAACAGAAGAACGAAGAAAAGTCGGAAGAAAAACCACCTCGAGTACAGGAAGAGAAAACAGATCAGGCGGAAAATAAGGAACAGAAGAACGAAGAAAAGTCCGAAGAAAAACCAACCCGAGTACAAGAAGAGAAAAGAGATCGCTTGGAAAATAAAGAACAGAAGAGCGAACAAAAGTCAAAGAAAGAAACACCCCGAGTACAAGAAGAGAAAAGAGATCGGCTGGAAAATAAGGAACAGAAGAACAAAGAAAAGTCAGAAGGAAGACCACCCCTAGTGCAGGAAGAGAAAGAGATCGGCCTGAAAATAAGGACCAAAACAACGAAAAAAAATAAATGAAAAAGAAAGGAAAACAGGATGCACGCTTTAGGATTGGTGAGCATCAAAACGACCAATCAAATGGCCAGGAAACATTTAAACCAAAGAGAACTTCCACGAAAAACGGAAAGAAAAGAAAACATGCCATGCTTTTCGACATAAATGATCCAAAGAGTGACTCGTGCTCTTCAGCAAAAAAGAAAATACATACACCGTCTGAAGCTGCCATCAAGTTTGTCCAAGACCGTTCTGCGTTGCCCTTTCCCTGCGCTTCTAGACGCTTTTATCTCAGACAGAATAAAAAAGCAGTTAAAAATGCGAAAAGGATCAAGCGACGCCAGGAATTACCAGTACTATATGAGGACAGTAAACTTATTGGTTTGCAAAGAAGTACAGTGGAGGGGTCACTCGAACAAAATATAGAAAGCATCAAAAAGGAAGTTAATTCCTGCACAAACAAAACAAGATATGCTGAACTTTTGGCTGTAGTTGATGTTGCCAGGGAATTACAAGAGTATACTCTTGGAGACTTCGACAGCTGCTGCAATTTATAAGAGAAGGAAAGCTTCGCTCACTAATAAAGAAGAAAGCTTATACTTCCGTCCGATTGACACGTATGAAAAATTATCGAAACATATTAACATAGCCCAAATATACATCGATCAAAAAGCATTTATGGTAGAAGCAAAAGATACTGACATTCGCAAGGTTGTAGAAATCGTCAGCGACACCTTGGAAAAGCTTAATAAACACACAGCAAGGGAAAAAGTACACTCGTGTTTGAAAAACAATTTCAGAGACGTTTTGCAATTCTTAGACAGTAAAAGAGATAGAGATGTCCTGGAAGCTGTCATTGCCAAGATAACAAGCGTCAAAAGCGTTGTGTCCATTAAGGGCACAAAATTCAAAGGGAGTATAAGCAAGCATCGTGCTACATTGGATTCTACACTTAAATCATTCAAGGAGATTAGCCAAAGCTGTCAAACTGTAAGAAATGATTCCCAGCAGCATGCAAAATTTCAAAGAGAAAAGGAAAAAATTAAGAACGAACAGTTAAAGGTGGTTGCCAAAGGAAGGGGAAGAAAGCTCAAGTGTGAAGAGTTTCCAGAGCTCGCTCGATATTTAGAATTCGCATTTGGAGAGGGCGACAGAGTCCTTCGCGGAGGTGGTGGCCTTCAAGCTGATCCTCGTTTGCTAGACAGTACTTTGTTCAAAGCTGCTGATAATGCAACTGTAATGCGACATGCCAAAGAGATGTTACGTAAAATCAAACCAGATTTTAAGATATCCACTTCATGTTTGTATACGTATACAATGAACTATAGGAAAGGGACAAAACAAGCAGAACGTCACCACCATGGCAAAGGAGTGAACGCCGACATATCCCTGCATAAGCCACCCAACACATCGCAGAACATTTATCCGATCAATTCGCACTGGTCCACATCCCATGTCAATTATCTTATGGACTCTGCTGCTGAAAACGCAAATGGATTTCTGTTGGACTCCAAAGATGCTAAGTGCATAGTGTGCGGAGATATAGCACCTGTTCTAAAGCCTGGGAAGAGCTGATCAAACTTTGAAACACCGGATCACTCCTTCGATCAGTCACGCGTGAATGCAGTGACACCTATGACACATCTCTTCATGGATATGCCCAATGCTGATCTAATTATTCCAGGCACCAAGACTGTAGTGAACGTTACCAGATCTGGCAAAGCAGTGACTCTCATCAATTTATCCTTAACTGAGCCCGAAACTGTTTTTCGTGTGTTTAACGAAATAATGTACTTAATGACAATCCCTTCACTTCATAGGTTCTTTCGGAATCCAGAGACAGGAAGACTGAAAGAAATCATGGGCTTTATAGTTGACAATGGACCTTCAGAAGCCCCAGCCAGTTTTCTTGGCCAGATGCTTCTCGTTCGCCTTTTGAAATTCCTGGATCTAGATAAGGTCACACAAAGATCGTTCGCAGAGTATTTAAGCAAAAGGAACCCTGTAGAGCGAGTCCATGCCGCTGAAAACAATGCGCTTTCAAGTCATGGGCCGTTCTCTTCAAAGATGATCCACAAGAATGCTTCACCTGGAAGCAAGCAACACAAAGAGAACATGGAGAGCATGGCACGAGAAGTCATCCAGTGCATTGGTAAAGAAATGTACAATAAAGAAACAATCAAGTGCTTCAGAGGAATTGGTTCGGAAGAAAAGTTTATCTTCACAGATGAGGAGGGCTTAAAGTCGTTTGGTTTGTTGTCTGACGAGAGGAAGGAAGAGGATGAATCGAAGTATCGGCCCATTAACAATGACATGTTAGCATATCTTGAAAATGTTTGGGGTGTGAACAAAAACTTTATTGGAAGCTACAGCGACGACTACCGCACCTTGAAATGTAACAAAACAGCCTGCACGGACAAATACAGTACATCTGTATACCGCGAAAATGAGTCATGGAGAGGACAGGTGCTAGAGCAGTTTGATCGACAACCCTTACCGGATTACAAACGATGGGAAGACTCTGGTGAGCTTCATTACCAGAGCTATGAGACCAGACGCGATTTTGTAAGTGGACCATGGGATGAGTGCCCTGGTCTCTTTTTACCAGACAAGGTGCTTGATACTTGTTTCCGGGCAAATCCTGTTCCATTGCCGGAAAATCTGAAAGCTATTGCTTTTATTGCCTGGGTTTCCGTGGAGGAAACAGCACAGTACTTTGATAACGCCAGAAAACAACTAATGGAGCAAAAAGTGGATGATTTGAAAAGGGAAACCTGGAAGTTACACCCTCTTTATAAGGAGAGCAGGGCAGCCTTATTGAACAAGTGTACAGAGGCCAATTTGATATCTTCCGGAAAAAAGTATGATCTGGTTCAGCGAATCGTAGAAAACCAAGGCAAAGCGGACGAGAGAAAACTGCTGACTGAAGCTGACCTATATGATGGCAAGCTATCGACAATCCCTAATTCTACGGCAGGTCTCCTGAAGTTATCTGTGGCGCATTTAAGAGCTATACTGAGGCGACACAATATTCTGGAAGTCAGCACAAAGGATGAACTGATAGCTAGAGTTGGGCTTCTTAAAGCCGGTCACCCGGAGGCAGCATTTTCAAGAGAACGTTTGTGCATTCTGCAATACATTACAGTGGCCAAACAGATTTACAGAAATCAGGCGGAGATGTCCTCCATCTGTCGTTCAAGGACATTCGCGCATGGAAAAGAGGAAACTCTAACCACCACAAAGTCTTGTCTATGAGATATGATAAAAAGCAAGACACCAGCCATAGAAATTAGCAATTCAGAACGAAATTTGTACAGTATTCTTATACCGTTGGAAAATGAAGTTGCACAACAGGAACAAAAAGTAAGAGCAAATATTGATGAGTTGGAAAAAAAGGCGGTGAAGAAGCCAGAGAGTGTAAAACTGAAAGCACAAACAAGCAAAGGGAACGAGACTGAAAGCACTAGGCGTTCCGATAGAAAGAGGAAACAACCAGCTAAACTACTGGAGTCTGCAAATTCACCGAATCATTTGTCGCATGTCGGAACTATAGTGGATGTCCTGTGGGCGGAGGAAGAATTAGAAGGGACAAACTGGAAACCAGGATGGTATCGCGGAGAGGTCCAGCAATATGACGAAGATGATGATTTGTTGTACATTTTATATTTTAAAGATCGCGCTGTTTTTAGCTTGAACGCAACTGGTGCTTTTTCAGATGGCATTATTTGTGCAGTCAGTTGATTTGAGATCATTAATATTGCTTTTAGTCATATAAGTAATTCCTGTAAAGTACAATTTCCCGCGAATTTCAAAGCTTCAATAACTAGATTATCGCATAGTTTTATCGTTTTCTGTGTAGTTACGAGTTTGGAAACGTTAGCAAAGTCGATACGATGCCATTTGTTTTAAGCATAATTTTTTTGTAACCGTGAACAGCGATGAGAGACGGCAAAGATTTCATTTCGTTGTTTAGTTACCGGAATGAACTTGAAAAGTACGTTTTACACATGAAATTAAAAAAAGTTAAAAAAAACTGTAAGGCGTGAAATTTACTATCATTTACAAACTACAGAGATAAAGCGTACAACTTTATTGAAGTATTCCTGTTGAAAGACGAACTTAAGGTCTCGGTAAATGAAAATTTTAGTACATTGCTCGATTTTGCTTTTTTTGGATTTTTGGCATGAGTGGGTCCTAAATTTTATTTTGGCAGAAAAAGAAAATCAGAAAGTGCTTTTTAACCCTTCTAAAATGAGCCTTTTCTGAGCTAACCAGCCAAGCGTGGACCTCGCACTAAATCTTTAGAGCTGATTTTCTCTCACTCTATTTTAGACGCAAAAATCAAAATTCTCCGACCTCCAGTCGGGACAGGTTTTAAGCTATCGCTTTCAAACTTTCAGATATGATGGATAATGATATAGACTCAAAAAGGGTGTGAGGAATTTTCCGATTTCCCTTTGTTACTCATTTTATGTCAGTTTCTTTGCGTAAATCGCGCTCGAGATTCGACTTTTTAGTTTGAAATGCAATAATTCCGCTAATACGAGACATATGCAAATTTCCTCACACCCTTTTTTAGGTCTTTTATCTGTCAATCAGATGCAATAAAAAGGAAGTGAATATTTAACAACGCGAAAGGGCTGGAGCTTCAGCACTAAACTCGATACCTCTGAGTTCGAGAGCAAAAAACTTCAGCGCCTTTTGAAATTCGATGAAATAAAATCTTTTATAAGGTAATTTAGTCTTTTAGCTTTAATTTGATATATAACTTGCCTTTGTAGCGAAAATACTCGCGCGACTAGATTTTTTTTCTGTGGGCACCTCGTTTTCCTTTACTGAGACCTTAAGTTTTTAAAAAACATGTTGCGTGACAGATTATGATTCCCGCTGATAAGCGAAGTCACTTCACGGCTCCACACAGGAAAACAACATTTCTTAGCAGTACTGTTCGCACATTATACTACATGTAGATAAAATTACACCTGCAAAGTAGAAAAAATATCATGGAGATTAGCATCGAGTCAATTCCTGAGTTTTGCTTTGACAGCAAAAACAAGAATGATGTAATATTATAGTCATTTCGTGTTTAAAGTAATTCGATATGTTGTTTCGTCTATGCATAAATTACAAACTTCGACTAGGTTACAAAATGTTGATGATACCGTCAACTTTCAGTACTTTCTTAGATATTTTTTGAATGAAATCTTCTGTCAATTAAGCAGACGAAAGGTCAGCTGCCAGAACTATAGTGTTAATAAGCTCAGTTGTTAGAGTTTGAACATTTCAAAATAGAGGAAGCGAGAGGCGCGTCTATTCATACGTCTAGAATTTTCCACGGTCATTTTTAAGAAAATTAAATCTCATAGCCTCCTCCAGCAATTTTGTACCTTACCTAGCGAATATCTCCATAAATAATGTGCCATGAAATAGCAAGTGTGGTATGGCCAAATCGCTTACGTGAAAATTATGCCGCTTTACGTCTTCATCTGAATTGTAACTATAATCGGCTGCGGCTAAATTTTATTTCGGCACTAAGTAGACCAAAATAAATCAATGAAGTCTTTTTATTTGTGGATTTGGAATTTCCTAGGGGTAGGGGCGACCAAGTGAAAAAATCATGGAAATTCCAGGGGGTCGGGGGGAGCAACCTGAAGCCCTCTGGAACGGAAAATCCGGGGGGGTGGGGGCTCAAACTGTAAACAACCCTCCGTGGGGGGGGTATGGATATTTTCTGGAACTACACATTATGCGACTTAAGAAATGAGTACATCAAGTTTCCTTCGACAAATAGAGAAGTTCTGGCCACGCGAGAAACTTTTGACGATTTAACGGATCTGCCAAACGTGGTAGCAGCCATCGATGGAACACGCGTTAAAATTAAAACTCACGACAAAAGGAGGCTGTACTCGCAGGGAAAGATTTCAATACTACGTAAACTTTTCTTTTTCTTTTAAAACATTCTGTTTTGTTTACCCTATATTATTATTGACATACCCTTCTAAACATTTGTATCTTGTCGAAAAACAACAAGAAAACAAAGATTCCTAAAAAGCTCTGACCACTTGAGTTTAATTTCAGGATTCTTTACCTCGTTATAAGTAATATTAGTTTGGTATTAAATATTCCTTAGGACAACTGAATGCCTTTGTGGGGCACTTCCCAGGGAATGGTCCCCCCAGCTCTTGTCTGATCCCTGACAAAACAAATGAAGTGAACATACTTACATTGTCATTAAAACATAACCAACTTTTGTAGCGATAATACATAGATAGATACATAGGTTATTTGTAAAAAGCTTCCAGCTAGTAAACTGAATTGTGCTTAAAACTGTTAAAATATATACATCATCGATCTCATTTACAAAACTCACCGAGCGCTAAAATTCGTTATCAATACACGCTCTTACTAAAAAACTATTTTTGAAACACTCGGTCTTACATTTGGGAATCGCAAAACACCTTTTGCACCGAAGATTATAACACAACGGCCCTGACGATTAAAGCATGTTATGTAAGCGATGGACCGGGTACATAATAACAATTTTTTTGTAAAAGGCAAATTAAAATGAAATTTACACAAATGAGAAATGAAGTGAAAATGCTGCTAACAGAACTGAATATGCTTTTTTTAAAATTTGTCGTTCTCATGTTTCTTTTTTTTGCACTATTTTTCAGTTTTACGTATTTACAAGATTTTTTTTTTACAATATTTACAATATTCACACTGTGTATCTCTCTGCATTTGTCCTCTTTTCCTGTCGGCATCTGAGTGAAAGTTGTTCTTGTTAATGGACGTGGCATTGACGGTGGCGGTAACAGTGGTGGAATTTCCATTGGTATGGTTAGTGAATAATGATGGTGAATATGTGATGGGCATGTTGTCTGAAACCTCATCATTATTTGATGACGAGAATTGGTGGTGGACGGAGTAATTGAGATTTGAGGTATGTTTAATTGGAGGAGAGTAAATGAATTGTGGAAGATGTGATAACGATGACGATGATGATGATGGAGGTGGGGGTGGTGGTCGTGTGATGCTGATGGTGGTGGTTGAGGTGGTTATGGGAAGGGTGGGACGAATAGGCCAGGGGCGAAGGGGAATGGGGCGGCGAATGGTGGGAGTTGCAGTTTCACCATCGCGTTCAAGTCTCCTTGACCCTGACATTGACCAGTAGGTAAATGGACGGCTACATCGCCAAAGTGCCAGCCCTTTCAGTTCAAAGGAAGCCGCCGGTGCACTGATATCTCGTCTTCCTACCGTCTTTATCAGCATCTTAGTACACATTGCCTTGCCTGTCACCTGGTCTGCATCACCTGCATCAACAGCATTCACCATGTCCTTAAAGAGATCAGAAGTTGCACCAGTAGGTTCGCTATCTTTGCAAGTATATCCACAGACATAGTCAATTATGGCTATGATATTATCTGTGCTAGGATTGTCCGGAGGGGAATTGGAAAGAATCAAGCTTACATCCCCATTTGCTCTCCACGATTGTAACTGATAACGAGAATGCTGAACCACACGTGGATGGTCACGTGGCATCTCTAGACGGGGAGCTCCATTATGATCTTCTACCATTTCCGAATTACTGTGAATTTTTTTCCCTGGGCGGAACTCACTTCCAAACTCCATCCGACATACACGTTCTCTAGGCTGCAGTCCTTGCTCCGGATGGCGAGGAGTTCTCAAGCAGTAATCAGAGCAACTGTGGAGTCCAACCCTGTTTACTAAAAGCAAATGATCCTCCAGTATTGCATCTTGTGTTGATGCTATTTGCATTAGCATCTTAACCAAGGGATCCCTATCATCTTATATGGGCTCACCTGTTCCCTCAGGTGGTGGCCAGAGGTCTTTTCTTGGCTGCCCTTCTTCATCATTGCCAGCTGGATGTAATGCTGTCATGGCAAAGGTTTCATCTGCCCACTGACTAAGTCTAGCTGCATACTCTTCCTCTTCGCAACCATCTTCACGAGCTTCATGCAATAGCTGATGCGGTTGCCTGTCTTCCCTCCAGCTGAGTTAGTGCCAATGAATTTGACCCCGGGACTTGGCAAACTCATAGCGGTACCAATAATCAGAGACACCAAATACCGGCTTCAGTACCTTCTCATGGTATGCCTGGGTACGCAGGTCAAAGTAACTCACCACTGCATGAGTATTTTCTTGTACTGCCTTGAAGCGGGCATTGCTATCTTCAGCAAGGTTGACTTCTTCACCTTTGGTCTGCAAGATGTACTCTTCCAGTAGCCTTCTAAGAGGAGGAAAGTAAAACTTGGCACAGCTTCCAGTCATGAAAAATGAAGGCAACCCACGCTTCTCATTGACCATGAACTCCACAAGGGCACGAAGCTCTCTGCATCTCTGGTGCCAGTACTGAGCTGTACCGCGCAGATTTGCACCAAAATACAACAACTTGTCGGTAAAAGTGTCACCTCTCGCAAGTCGCTCTTGCAGGTCTGCAACAGTTATGTTTGGGTCACCAAGTTGCTGATCAACAAAGAACCGGCTCTGCTCCAGGGCACGCTTCCTCATGATCATATTGTGGACAACAAACTTCCACACCTTATGCCTAGCAAACCTCCCATCTTGGTACCACAGCAGGTGCTCTGCCCAGTCATGCAGTGAAGGACAGGTCACTGGCCAGTTTATGTGGAAATCGCCCTTTCCATAGGGAAACAAACAAGGAAATGCCATCGTAAAAAAGTACGGAGTGGTAAACACGCTGGTGTCGTGTCCGTGGTCGGCCAAGGAATCACTGGTTGTTCCACTCTTTGTTGTGTATTTTCTGGTTCACCCTCCCTAGGATCTGACACAACTTCATTTACGGCTGCTTCAACTTGTGCTTGTACGTTAACGCCAGGCTCAGGAAGAATTACTCCAGAGACTGTAGAGTCATCAGTACAATCTGTTTCCCCAGCATCCAACTGCTGTGGTGCCGGGCCTTGGTCATCTACCCGTTCTGTTTCAGAAAACTCAACAGTTCTGAGATTGGGCAACTCACCGTCTTCAGGTAAATTCTGTATTCGAGCACCATCAATAACAACATCATCATAGGCAGGTCCTTCAACCAACGAAGCGCTCCCTCGACACAGTGTCTTCTAACCCTGAAGTCCTTATGGGTATCATCTTTTCCTTGTCGTCTCGCGCGAATGATATCCACCTCTGCCGGTAGTCATGGAAGAATAGTTGCCCGTTCTTGCACAGCCTGTGGGAATGCAATGCAATGCCCCTTTGAAGCGATACCTCCATGCTTCAGTAAGTGTACATGCACGGTAGGTGCTAGCCTGGCTATCAGCATCTGACATGTCAGACAAAATCTCAGGAACAGCCATTGGATCCATGTTATTCTCTCCAGACCAAACTTTTGGTACCTTCTTATCTCTCCTGCAGCGAGTACACATGTTTCTTGTGCCCTTGAACTCCAGTCGTCGTTCCTTGCAGACCTCACAAAAACTGAATGCGTAAGTCATCTCCTCCACCTCAAATGCACAAATAGCACTGTATGCGTTATCTTCTTGCTGACTTGAACCTGCTGGTGGAGGTGGCGGTAGATCTCCAGCAACATCTCGCAACCTTTTCTCTTGTTCTGATCTTCGTCTTTGGTTTCGCCGCTTTCTTTTTCTTCTGTCATCCTCTGTTTCCACTACACCAGGCTTTGCAAACTCATAGTCCACACCAACTGCCCTTGCTCTAGCAATGAGACGGTCATCTTCTAACTGGCTACAATTATTTTCTTCTGGAAGAGATTGCTGTGTTCCCTGCGAATTGCTTGCTTCCTCAATTGGGCCATTTTCTACTACAGGAGTGTCCCTTTCCAACTCTTCTCCTAGTGAATGAATTATTTGTATTTACCAACTACACAATTAATATAAAGTATGGTGCTGGTGGATTGTATTTTTTATCTTGCTTGAGGGATAAGTGTTTTTTGGAGGGGGTATTCAATTGCAGGAACTGGTGAAGCATAATAAAAAAAGCTGTGACTCTTGGGCTAATAGTTGTAAGCTACAGCCTGCCCAAATAGGTCAAACTGTAAAACTGAGTTTCTTTGCACCCTTAAGAACTGTTTGTGTAACTGTACAAGCATTATCATTATTACAATGCTGTATCTTTTGAAGTGTTCCCAAAATCTGATTTCAAAAGAAAATACACCATATACCTTCCAAACTCAAGGTAATACAACAAGGCTTGACAATCATTTTCTAAGTAGTGATATTGACTGAGATTTCATAAATCAGTCATCCAATAATCAGAGTGACCAAACCAGTCAATTATTAATCATCAATTATAATTAGGAAAATAATTATCTCTATATGAATTCGATGTATTTTTAAACTGTGTGTTAATTAAAGTAATGCAAACTTAAATGTATGGTTTCTTATAATATGTACAATCAAATGCCAACAAAACAAAAACTCCCACAAACCAGTCAGCAGAATTATGTATACAGACATGATGTCTTGTCATATTAACCACAACAGCAATTCTTGAAATACATGAGAAAAGGCCTCATCATTAACGAATTATATAGCTGCTCTTTTGAGTCCATCCAAAAAATATATAATTTATGAAAGTTTTAACATTCCTATTTGTCACACATACATACACCTTTATATATCATATTTCAAAATGTTGGTAACAACAATAAAATAAAACACAACCCACAATGAATAAATAAATAAAGATAATCAAGTACATTTATAAAATAAAATGGAAAGAAAAAAGTGTTAACTACAAAAGAAAAAGGATAAAATTAAGTATGCATGTTTCCCGCCAGCAAGGTATGGCAGGTGATTGGTTCTGATCTATATTTCTATTAGCGTTTATTAGCCAATCACAGTTTTTCATTATCTAGAAATTTGCGTTACTTCCCTTTCTGCTTTTGTGTAAAAAGGATAAAATTAAGTATGCATGTTTCCCGCCACCAAGGTGTGGCAGGTGATTGGTTCTGATCTATATTTCTATTACCTTTTATTAGCCAATCACAGTTTTTCATTATCTAGAAATTTGCGTTTGTGTTACCTCGTTTTTGCACTGTGTTAGTAAAAAACTGCGCTGCTGCAATGTCAATGTGGTTCAAACTTTTTTCCTGTATATTATTAACTTTCATAATAAATAACATCTACCATAATAAACTATATCAGTACCTGCTGAATGTCTTTGCTCTTGTTCACCGACAAGAGAGCATTCCATCCTACTTTCAACTTGGAGGACTTCACTTTCATGTTCTTCTATGACTAAGAAAATAAGATATGCTTGTCCTAAATTCAATATTTCCCCATCTCGCAATACAAGGAGTTTTTGAGCATTTATGGCGAAATTTTTTTTCTTAATTTGCCTGTTACTGCAAAGTACAATGTTTTCATTACAGTAAAAACCTGTGGCCGAGAACCTGGTTTTTAAGAACCTGTAAAGCTATAAATTTGCCAGTTAGGCCCCCTCCATACAAGAACCTAGCCTGTTCCAGGCGTTCAGATAGTAAAGTGTGGCAGTAAGTAGGGAGCGAGTTAAATTGTACACTGAGAAAATGGGGGGGGGAGGGGTGCGTGTGAGATCATTTATGGAAGCCCACAAAGGCACAAAAAATCTTATTTGAAAGGTTATTTAGCCACAATAAAAAGATTAATGCTTTAACAGAGGTCAAAGAAAAGCAGTACCTAACTGCATCTGGAATCAAATTCTTTCAGAAACAAACTGCAGGAAATAATTGCCCAGTATGCATGACTGACCGTCTCAATGTTTGACTCAGAGCGACATGGATTGGATTTGCTTAGTCAAAAGAAGGAAAACCTCTGATGTTGTTTATTGAAAGCTAACTCAAAGGTCACGTTTCATTACTATAACCAGCTTATGGGTCGCGGCTAGCCTTCCAGCACTTTGAAGTTCATGTCACAGTTTTTAATACATGGTCGGCGGTCAATTAAGGGCGGAAAGAGCTCTGTAAGGGAATGTTTACAGGCGTTCTCTCCCCCTTTCCCCCTCTTGTCTCCTTCGTTTCTTTTTTTTTTGCTTCATGAATTTTTCTCCCACGTTCTACTATCTGAATGCCTGGAACAGGGTAACAAGAACCTAGCCTGTTTATCCTAAATATATTTGAAAGACATTCCTATTTTCTTAAATCTATATGACAAAATTCTTTTCACTAGAAAAATATGCGGGAACCTCTTTGGGAGACATCACCCCACTGAAAGCCTCTTTATAAGCTAAGTACTCTTTGGCCACAATGTTTTTCATTCATAAAATAAGAACCTATATATTTTAGAAAATAGCCAAATGTTTAACAAATAACTATTTTTGAAAGAACCTGTTCAGGCTACTTACATTGTAAGAAATAAGCGTTGACAGGCCAAACACGACTCATAAGCTTGTGAACAGTGCTTCTCTTTCTTTTTGTCTCTCTCGCGAAGGTTACTAGCACTACACAGTGCATGACTTGTAGCATTCTAGACTTTGACTGAGTAAATCTTGTTTTTGCCGCACTAAGTCTTATATTAAGAGGTCATGAAACAAGTTTGTTACATGCATACTGAGTAATCATTTCCTGTGGTTTGTGCTTCTGTAGGTGTCCCTGATAGGATTTGATTTCACATGCAGTTGTAAAGTGTTTTATATCCTTTGACCTCTGTTTATTACGGCTGAATAAAGATTTTAGTTTTTTTGGATTTCTCCGAAATGACTGTGTCTGATTAACTACATGCATGCATGCAAGTTTCTTTGTCCGTGAATGTGATTATTTCCTGCCATATCAGTATGACTCTGGACCCATCTCTATAGTGTGGTTTGCAGGCTTTTGAATTTCCACTGATAGTGCGATCTTCAGACTGTAGCTTAAACTAAGCTACACCAAGTTTGGAGAAATATATCGTGCCTCAGTCAAGATAATTCTCTTAGCGCTCACACAGTTCATTTAGTTTTTCTTAACACAAGTGAGTCTTTGAACTGGAGCGCGATGTCTTGTTGTTCCTTCGTAGGTATTAACTTAAGTTTTTGCTTAACAGTCATCTATGCCACTGTTATGAATTCTTAAGCAAGACTGCAGTTTCGGAGCTATAGCATTCCTCGTCAGTTGCTACTATGGTAAAGTCTTAGGTACAGAGAGCGAAGCAGACTGTTTAAGTACTGGTGGCTATGATCGAAAATACTAACTTGCCATTGGCTGCAAAAGTGACCAATAGCGTAGGTTTATCTTTGATCCGCGTTCTGTTGTGCTTCCTTCAAGGTCAAAAATGCTTTTTTTGGGCTGAACCGGTATGATAGTATCTGACTAGGTTGCAGTGATGCCAGGTCACTGACATGTCCTAGTGCATGTAAGTGTCTTTCTCAGGAGATTCGAGATGTTTTCTCGTATTTTTCTACACGCTAACAAAGATTCACAAACCAGTTTTAACTGGTAGACCTGTAATTTCGGGCTGCGATGGCCCAACAGAACATATATCTTCATTTTTAGACCACATCCTACAGCCTATCGCTAAAGTACAAAAATCCTACCTCAAAGATACCACACAGTTTATCAACTTTATAGAAAAGAGGAAAGTTCCAAACAACGCGGTCTTAGTTTCAATGGATGTTAGCGAGGCTCCCGCACGCGCAAAGCGCACGTGGGACAGAGCCCCATACTCATGGAATATGGTCAACCTCTTTTCGTTTGGTTGTCACGTGATTGACCGAGCGTACGTACGTACGTACGTACATAAGTACATACGCGTCTACAGATTGTACTGGTGGGGTAGGGGAGACTATCAAAAGGAAGGGAGGGGTGTCTCAGGCGTGTCTTGGCAAGTCCACATCTTTAATATGGGATTAAAGGACATTCACAATATCAATATCACAATCGTAGTGTGGCAAGCTGCATCGAGTGCGAGGGAAAAAGAGCATATTCACCACTCGATAAAGCTAACCTTTTCAACAGTTTCTTCCAGTCTGTTTTCATCAAGGACTCAGAAGCAAGTGATTTCCAGAATCCTAGTCAGCTGACCGAACATGTTATCAGTGACTTATCTTGTAGCGTAGAAGAAGTGGCGAAACTACTTCAATCAATCGATGTCAACAAAGCATCTGGCCCTGACAATATTCGTCCAAGAATACTCAAGGAATGTGCTATGGAATTGGCCCTACCACTGACAAACTTTTTTAACTTCACTTTGTCTCGGGGGAATATCCCAACTGATTGGAAAGTTGCAAATGTTGTGCCTATATTCAAATCTGGCAAAAATAACTTGGCAGATAACTACCGTCCAATTTCATTGACTAGCGTCGTTGTGAAAACGTTAGAGCGCTTGATCCACAAGTACATTATGAAGTATCTGACTGACTTCCAACTGCTTAACGACAATCAGCATGGATTTAGACCGTCAAGATCTTGTGTTACCCAGCTACTGCAATTAGTACGTGAGTGGTTTCAGGCCTTGGATAAACTTGGATCAGTCGATGCAGTGTTTTTGGACTTTGCCAAGGTTTTCGATAAAGTCTCCCATGCCCATCTCCTCTACAAATTGGAATGCTATGGTATCAAAGGCCAGATTTTAAATTGGTTAAGGGATTTTCTCACGTCAAGGAACCAGCGTGTAGTGATTGAGGGTCAAGCATCTGACTGGTTAAGTGTTACATCTGGTGTGCCCCAAGGCAGTATACTTGGGCCTTTGCTGTTCCTTGCATACATCAACGATCTTCCTTACTCAGTAACGTGCAATTCAGATTTGTTTGCTGACGATACTGTCCTTCATCGACACATAGAAAATAGATCGGATTGCGATCTACTTCAAGAGGATTTGACATCTGCCTCTGAATGGTGCAAGAGTTGGCTTGTTACTCTTAAGACCGAGAAGTGCGAAGTCCTACACATTACACGGAAGAATGATCCAATAAGATGTCAATATTCGTTGAATAACATCTTACTACCGGAAGTGGACCACCACAAACACCTGGGACTTTGGTTGGAGTCGTCCTTATCATGGGATTATCACATTAACTCAATTTGTGCTAAAGCTAACAAGGTGTTGGGCTTGATTAAAAGGACATTTGGTTATTCAAACAAGACTGGTATCAAGACAGCTTTCAAGGCGCTAGTGATACCTATCCTCGAGTACGCCTGCCCAGTCTGGAATCCTTATCTGGTGAAACACACCAAGGCAATCGAAGCAATTCAGAGAAGAGTGTCCCGACTAATATGTGGCCCCGACAAAGAATATCCTGAAAGACTTTTAGAGTTAAAATGGGACTCTTTAGAACTGAGACAGAAATATCTTAGCCTAGTTCAAACGTATAAGATTATATTTGGTTACTGTGATATCAATTGCCATCATTACTTTGATATTATTGGAATAACTCGAACTAGAAGTAAGCATGAGTATAAAATAAGGCCTAAAGTTGCCCGTACAAATTATTTTAAATATTCATTTTTTCATAGATATATTAATGATTGGAACTCTTTGCCTTCTGAGGTAATGTCATCTCCTAGCCTTCAGTCTTTTAAAGTTTCACTGATTAAGTACCTTCGCTCATAATTTACCTTAAAATATTAGGCATAGTGTCTTTAATATAAGTTTATGCATTATTATTAGGCATCTAGGTTTATAATTTATAGTCTAATTTATAGTCTTTTAATATATGTTTATATATTAATTAATTATTTTTTCTTTTTTATTTTTTGGAAGGTATGTCTTAGCATGGGAATTTGGTTTCCCCCTACTACCATCCTGTTAACCATTTTTGTATTTTTGTTCGATTGTATATGTTAGTATTAGTTCATTTGTATCAGTTATGTATGGTTACGAACTGTGATTAAAGATTAAAGATTAAAGATGGTCAATTGACAGCTGTCATAACAGGATAGCCACTGACCAGTATCCCAAGACCATATCGCGGGCTCATGTGTCAACTCATCGAGGTGACGTGATTTATTTGGAAGCTGTCCGCTGAGCAGTTAATTGTTTTACTAGATCGCGAACAATGTTCAATCTCATACTTTTACTAGTTAAACTGATAATGCACACATATTGGACATCACTGTTTTGATCAATTGACAGCTGTCAAAATAGGGTACCCGCTGACCAGTATCACTTGACCGTATCGTGGACTCTGGTGTCGACCCATCGAGGTCAAGTCTTTTTTTGAAGTTATCTGCAGACAAGTTACTAGTTTTCAAGTGACCGCAGGCTCAAGTTCAAGTTTTTTCTAAATTCATATGAAATATGTTGTGTTTATGTGCTACACAATTAAAATTTTGATTGCAAACTGACCTC